AAGGGAACTATGTCCAAGAAAACTCTAAGAGGACCATTTTCTTCTTGCCATCTAAAACAATCCCTAGCATGTAATTTAGCTTGTCAAATAGCATGCTTATTACAGAATTTAGAGTTTATTACGTTATATCCAAATGGAAAAAAACTTGCTTATTTGAACAGTCAAGAAATGCAAGGCAGTATTTTAAGCAACTTAAACGTGTGTGAGAGATGGACTGGAAGCGAATTACAGGGAATATCCTCAAACACTGGGAAAAGGTTCAAGCTACAGTCCTATTTCTTGTACTTTTCCCCTCACTATCTTGCCAGCCTCTGGATATCGAGACATACTCTTATATGTCTGCATTACCAACAACACAAATACCTACTTTCTGATTCATGTAAATTAAAAAAAGATTAATGCCGGCCACATGGAGGCATATCAGATGTGCTGTAGAAATCCATACAGTAGATTTGTTCATATGAGAGAAAACTAAAATTCTAATAATGCACATAAAGCTATTTCACTACAAAAAAAGGAACTTGACTTGCACCATTTTCTTCATGCCGGGAAGAAAATAATCTAAAGGAATTTATTGTTGCCCTCTACAACACTGAGGGGAGGGAAACTTACCACACAGGATGAGCAACAGGGCAACAAAAAGAACGTGTAACGCTAGATGATACCCGTCGCCACAGAAATCGTGTTAGGCTACGTGCTTGCGGTGAACCGGGATCAGACCTTATACCACGGCTTTACACCGGTGTTCACACAAGCCTAAGCCCGAAGTGTGTTTTCACGCCCAACGCTTTTCGCCAACGACCCCGGTTCGGCCCGCAGCACCGTCCTGCGGGTGCCGGCGGCTGCTCAGGCAGCGCTTCAGGCGACGCCGGGCCTTCGCCAAGGCGGGCACGGCCAGGAGGAAGCTCGCCCTGAGGAGAAGTCTCCCCGTTCTCACAGCCGCGTTGCATCACGCGGACGGTACGGTACGGTACGCCCGGAGACCGCCCTTCCCTCAGCGGCCGGGGGCAGTCACAGGCCCAACGCCCCGCTCTGACACATCTCCCGCCCCCCCCCAGGGACTAGAAACCCCCGCGGCGCCGCCCACGGCAGGACGGACGGGGACGGTCCCGCTCCCAGGCCCGACCCGCAGCAAGCGCCTGCGCTCCCCGTCAGGCGGCGCTGGCGGCGGCTCC